GAATGAGAGTGTGCACGCTGTGCTACGTTAGTGTGCTCTTAGTGCAACCAAGATGGCAGACACTTCAGGAGAACACGCCCTGCACTGGTGACCTGTGCTGGTGATCAAGATGGAGTCCTTGTTTACATAAATTTATGTTGTAGGTGTGTGTAGTGCAGCCAAATCAGTGTGAGTACTGAATGAGAGTGTGCAAGCTGTGCTACGTTAGTGTGCTCTTAGTGCGACCAAGTCCGTGCGTCAACCACCACCGCCCCTAACGAAATCTATTTGCCGAAGGTGGGGGGCAGTGGCAGTGTGTGGAATTGTATGTGATGGCTTTGACGATTTTTGTGCTCGTAACTTTGAATGAGAAATCCTGAAAAATATCGGGGACGTAGATTGAATGCCGATGCGTCTGGAAAAGATTTCAAAAATCTCCAGAAGAGAGTTCTGATGGCAAAGAAAAGTTTTTCTGGCAGCGAAAGTACTGATGGCAATTTTTGCTCCCTGATGGATCCTGTAGGCTGCCAGTTTTTGCGGCTCGGTGGTCCTGGTTGTGGAAAGTCAAATATCTGCTTGGAATCTTTTTTTTTTTTTTTTGAAGCTGCATTCTGCTTTCAATTTCACCTCACACTCCCTACCTCCTGCTGATACTAATTATAGTCATACAGGGAACCCCATAGCAGCCAGAACTGTGTTCATGAGAGAACATGCGGGGGCTGCTCCCGAGCTGCAGGTGAGCGATACCGACCAGTGGACAGCCGGTAGCATCAGGGACAATGCAAGCAGGACCAATCCCTGTTCCTCCCCTCAGGTGGTGGTCCCCTCCCCTATGAACATCAGCAGACTCTGCTCAATGCCGATCGGGGGATCCAGTGGTCAATCCTAGGTGGCAGGCGCCAAGCATGCCCAGGAAGGTACATGAGGCCAATGGGGATTGAGCCCACGACCTGCTGAATGCCAGTCGCGAGCCTTATCCACTGAGCTAGGCTGCCGAATGCTTGGCTCTTTAAACCAACAGCACTTGGCCCGAACATGACCGGACGGGCTCATCTTGAAAACAATCGGAGAACTCATCGTATCTGAAGCCCATTAGCATCAGAACATCCCTCAACTCGATGGATCTTCGAGAACTGGTGGCTAAAGCGCACATGTGATGTGCCTTCTAGATATTGTTTTGGGGTTTGTTCTGTTTTCTATGATTTGTCAGATTTTTCCTGATTATTCTCCTTTTTACAAGTCCCTGGTGGTTAGCTTCATTAGCAGAACTTGCAGGCCTTCGGAATGGTGGCTGTTTGCCAGCATGCCTCACAAAATCCTCCGTCATACTGACACGTGCATTCAGTGAGCAGCAGGGTGCTACTGCTAGACGAGCAGAATTGGGAGTAGGTGAATGAGTGATTTCCAGCTGGAGATAGCTGGGGGGGGGGGAGGGAATAGGCTAAGGAGGGAGAAAGAGGAGGAAGGAAGTGGGAATGGGGTTAGTCAGGGAAGGCGATGTGGAATTCCAATGGGGCATAAGCATGTGCTTGAGCCATGAAAAGGAGAGCATTTTTCTCAGAAGCAAGAGAAAGAGATGGCTATTGTGTCGCTATAAGCAGCTCACGTCAAGCGCTGTCGAGAAGTGGGAGAGAATTGTTCTCGCAAGCTATAGAAAGAGAGGGCTGTTGTGCGGTGTATGGTTAGCAAGGAACAATTGAGAGCTGATGGGTATGCGATGGATTTGCATACAAAATGGAAAGAGAACTGGGAAGGGAGGGTGGGCCAGAACTGGACTGTATGAAATGAGCGAGAGGGGTATTTTAGAGAGGTACTGTAAATGGGAAAATAGGGAAAAGGGTGGTAGAACACAGCAATGGAAGGGTGAGGGAGGTCGAGAGGAGGGAGGGTATTTTGCATGGCAGCGGCGGACAAGTAAACGGGACAAGTCCGGACACGGGAACAAGTACACGGGACAAGTCCAGACATGGGATTTCCCGGTTTGATGTAAACATCCGGATTTCGGGTCATGTCTGGATTCTGTAGACTTGTCCAGATCAGTCTGTCCGGATTGACATATTTGATCCATATTAATAAGGGGGGGGAAACATGAGTAAATGAAAAGGCCTGAGGTAAATGGGGGACTAAACATCCAATAGTCACAAGGGCATGAATAGGAAGTAGGGAAGTGGAAAAGGTTCCGGAACTTAGTGAACATGTTTCATGAAGTAGACAGCTACACTGCGCAAAGAAAGTCGGAACTCAGAATTTCAAAAAAGACCACATAAATTGCAAACGGCTCCACATGCCATGAACTGGCACGAAGTTCAGAAAAAAACGTTTTATAAATAGTCTGAACAGTGAACTTCGAATTTTGGGGCTTGAAGCTTAACCTTCCTGATCAGGACCCTTTGTTATTCATCATGAATGACAACTCAAAAACCGAGTGCTCTCTCTCTCTCTCTCTCTCTCTCTCTCTCTCTCTCTCTCTCTCTCTGTGTGTGTGTGTGTGTGACAACTTAAAAACAGGTAGGCCCCTGTGTCTCTCGTTCCGGCATTTGTCAGTCGAAGTGCATTTTTCTTGGTTGCACCATATTCAGATGAGCCTCTCTTCATAGTCTTCTCCAGCGCAACGTCGTTTTTTGGTGAAGACCCTGGTCTTCACCACCTTGATTCTCCTGCTCGCTGATTCTGCACTGCGTGGCATTTTGTGCCCTCTCCGTCTACAACAGCCACATTTGAATCCTCTGCATTTGCAGGGTCTATGTTTTGTGTTCTCAGCCTGTCTGTTTGGCGTTTTTCTCAATGCATAACCTGCGCTGTTGTTGCCGCACCCCATGGATTTGCTCCACCAGCTCCCCTCATGTGCTTTCGCATATGCTCCTTTGCTCCCAAGGATCAAACCTTATTGTGCACTTCTCTTTGCAATGTGAGACCATAGACATACCTGCCCTTTTTAATCCTCTCCAATCCTCTCCAATGCTCTGTGTGCCCATCCTAAATGGTGCGCAATTCGTCGCATGGCTTGCGGCAATGGTCAGCAGCCTTATCCTTGCCTTCATCACCCCCTTTATTGGGAGGCGCAGCAGCATCCTCCCCAGTCCTTCCCAGTCTTGGAGTTGTTTCAATCTACGCTCAACCAACCTCGCCTTGCTCAACGTGCTCAATCTTCTCCTCCTAGGTTGGCGTGTCACTCCAGTCAATCAAATCTTTCCCCTTCTCTGGTATCTGCTCCAAGGCGTCAAGTAGGTAGATGTCCTACCTGCAGTGCACCGGTTTTTGCCCTGTTTTGGGGAGCTAAATTGTTGTGCAGGCGCATGTGAATTGCCTCGAAGAGACTGCCCCTTCTCTTGCTTCTCTTGCAACCCGAAGCAAATGTTTTGTTAAGAAGGCAAATGGAATGGCTCTGCAAGGCGCGTAACTCGGCACATTACCAAAACCACCAAGTTGCAGGGTTCTGCTTCTGTGCTGCTTCTGCCGCCCTCTCCGTGGCGAACGTCCCATTGTTTTGCCACCACCAATCCACCTCACACTATACCTGGTTCGACACCTACTGCAAGCGCCACCTCGTGCATGTATACAACCACATGTAGTACCCTTCTCGGATGTCCATGTGCGGCACGTACGAATGGTGCGCCAGAGCCAGAAACATGTTCGCACAATGCAGTGAGGTGCGCATCACCATCTGCTCCTATACTCCGGATCCGAGAATAATGTTGCACAATCCAGCAGAAGGGTTGTCATAGCATCCCACCTGCCCATGACTATCGGCGTCCTCTGCCAATCTCGAAATAGCCCACAATCTCTCCGCCACCTTGTCCATCTTTACATTACATACATTTCGCTGATGTCAAGTCTAGTGCAGCCACCACCTTCAGCAGAAGGACAAATCCAGTAGACTGAGTCCAACATATGAAAACTGGTTGCAAACCTCGTTGCAGCAGGTTGCTGCAACTGCCTCCCGCTTCAATGCACGTAGAAGATGTTGAGTACGTGCCGGTGATTTATGAAGAACTTCACCATGTCATTGCCCTTTCCTACAACTTCCTCACCCACTGTCTCCCTCATGCGGTGCAACATCAGGTCCAGGCAATGCACTAAGCATGGCATATAAAAGATAACAGGAAGTATATGCTTGATGAGTTTGCCCGAACTTGCACACGCATCGGCATTGTCTGTGAATCTGTGATCACTCCGACGAAAGAATCAGGTCCAGGCAATGCACTAAGCACGGTACATAAAAGACGATAGAGTTTGCCCGCACGTGCACAGACAGTGGCATTGTCTATGACCACTCCGACAAAAACCTTTGTCATGGGCGTTCTCGATAGCCAGATGTGGAAGTATTCCTTCCATGC